GAAATTCCGGACAAATATCTATAAAATTTACTCAAAATAACAAATTAGACAATGTTAATATCAAATAAATTAATCACAATGCTCAATAATCTAAATTATAACAAAAAACAAAAAACAAAAAATGCATAACCCATTTGGATTCAACACATAAACATATCAAAACTGATAATATCACTTAAATCTTACTTATCACTACCCAAACTACTAATTGTGAGAAGAAAAAAAATTGAATTCATCACTGCTTGGCCTGCCAAAAAAGATGAAGGAAAGGGAAATGTAGCCGGAGGGAAAGCGAAAATAACAGGGAAAAGGGGTTAGCCGCGGAAGGGGACCACAGCCCCTCCACTTACCAATGAGCTTCACGTTGGCAAGGGGAAAAGGTAATCATGTTACAGATTAATCTGACTACCAACGTTATAATTATGGTTGTCAAAATCATGTTTTAACTTATAAAATTGTATAATTTTATGATTTTATAATTTTAGATATGCAATTCATATAAAATTGAAGTTAAAATCAAGATCCTATAAATTTAGAATAGTAAAATCGTAAAATTATAGTAAAATGTAAAATTGGATAAAATTAGATAAAATCAAGATTTTATAAATTTAAAAGATTTTATGGATTTTGTGTCATTACATGATTAACAATCATCAACAGTCCATTGGTGGAGCTGTGCTTGTTGACTGTTTATTGGTTGTTTGGTGGTGGTTGGAATTTTGGCTATGTTATTTGACATTTTTGGGTTTCAAACAAAAATTTTAAAGTTTTGTTAATTTTTTATAAGTTAAACTAACAATATGTTATTATGAAATTTTTTTGTAGTCAAAATTATTAAAATTTAAAATAATTTAATAATTATGGAATAGAAAATTATTCAAAAAAGATTTGAACTAATTAATTAGTAATTATATTTCTTAGATAAATTTTAAATTTAAACATTTGATGTTAAATTTTAATAATATATAAATTTTAAATTAATTTAGTAAACATTCAATTTTATGATTTTAATTTTACATTACCAAAATAATTTCACTTAAATTCTCGATTTTGACACCATTGGTTATAAAGGTAGGAGTATATTTACCACCGTGTAACAAGCCTCTAATTAATTAGGAGTCAACATTTGACTCCACTACCAGTCTTCGGGTTGACTAGAACAATTTTCAGACTAGGACCACGTTAGTATTTTAATATTTTATTGACGAAGTTAGCATGTGAACATTAATTAATATAAATTAATTTTACTTTTACTATTCTACTATGTCAAGATATGTTGGATGTGAAACTCCTTACTAGAGCGATTGATAACTTTCTGCATAAGAGTACTTATAGACCTCGAGTTCGAAGTCATCCGCCTCCCCTTTCTCCTAGGCTGGGTTTCCAACCTCTTGGTAACCTAATAAAAAAAAAAAAGAGATATGTTGTATGTTGATAATTTGGTTTTTTACCCACAAAACATCTCACGTTACTAACCTTTTAATAGATAATTTAAGGTTCTTTGGTAGTGGTTCTATCTTTATATTATTGCTAAAAAGTGACAATTGAGTTTATAGGGAGGGATCAATGGACGGAAATTAAGTTTCAGACCTACACATGTGAATGATAACCAAGTTTTTTTATGAATACTTGCAAAACAAGGCATTAGAGATTAGTCAAAGACCCAAGTTGGTCTTTAACTTGGCACTTCGATGCCCAGCATAAGTACGACACTCGAGGAAAGTTGGAGATTACACACTTCGTGTGGGAATGTAGAAAGAGATTAGAGGTAGAAGAACACTAAGAAAGAATGTCCAACAAGGGATAAGATACGTGATCCGATAAAGCGAACCTCATCATAGTTTGATACCTTGGTTATCTTTTGGTTAGCGTGCTCTAGTGGGAAGCTACTAGCTATCCCTAACTATGCACTCTCTAATTTAACACTTCGAGAGGAATGTTGCTAGTTGGATTTGTGGAGTCTTTTCATGTGTCCTGAATACCATTATACTATTTTTAAGTATAACATCTTAGTTATTGTTAATTAAGAGAAATACGAAAAGAAAAAAAGAAAAAGAAAAAAGACATAGTTAAGAAGGTTAGTTATTAAATGCACCTTTAATTACATTTTTAAATAGTAAAAAAATTATTAATAACAAAATCTTATAGTATGATGTAACATAATTTTTATAAACACTTTTTTAAGTATATTTCAAAATTAACTCCTCCAAGTTTTAGTTAATTGTCTACCTTGGAACAAAAAAATTGATATTGAATTATTTTCTTATTAGCTTTCTTAAGAAATCAAACCTCAGCGGCTAAGCTACCATTATTTGATTCAACATTTAGGGTCCATTTTGTATAACAGTTTAGAGGTAAAAGTTAGTAGTTTTGTTCAAACCACTAATAATAAGTGTTTAGTAAACTTATTTATTTTGAAATTGTTACAAATTAAGCATGTGGTAAAACTTTTTATTTAATGGTTTAAGACTAATAGATAATGGTTAGGGGTCCAAACCACTAACAAAATGAAAAAGCTACCTAAGATTTGTTTAATATAACGATTAACATTCAACTGAATAGAGAATAGCAAATAGCGATTACGGATGGTGGGTAACAGTCAACAAATAGTCGGTGGCGAATAACGAAAGCAAGTGGCGAAAAGTAATTACCAGATAGTAAATAGCCAATTCAATTAATATAACGGTTTAATTATACAATAATTAGTGGTTGTTGTTTGAAATTAAATTATTGATAAAAAAATATTTAAAAATAATTAGGTGTATTTTTTTATATTTTTATTATTAAAATTATTAATTTTATAAAAATAAATAAATAAATTATAATATTGTAATTATACACTAATTTTTATTTTTAATTAAAAAATTATATTAGTTTTAAATAAAATAAAAAAATTTTAATCTTTTCGTGCTAATTAGTAAATTTTATTTATTAAGCTAATATATATTTTATAATAAATTAATGTAAAAAATATACAATAATTACTTAGTATTATTAAAGACAAAAAATAAAATTGAAACTAATTAGATAAATACTAATTAAAACTCAATGAAAAAAGAAAAAATAAAAGGATAAATTTATCAATAAAATTAAAAAATTTCAATTTACTAACGATTTGGTACAAAAAATTATCTTAAATAGCTTTTTTCAATTCGCTAATTATTTGGACCATAAGCACTTTCCGCTAATTTCGAACTATTAAATAAATAATTTTACTAAATACTTAATTTGTAACGGTTTTGAAATAAATAAGTTTACTAAATATCTATTTTTAGCGGTTTAGGTAAAATCGTTAAGCAGTACCTCTTAATTGTTATACCAAATAGACCTCTAAGATTACTTTTTGTACCAAACTGTTAACGAATTGAAATTTTTTAATTTTATTAACAAATTTATCCCTTTTAATTTTTTCACCATTTTTAATTAGTATTTATCTAATTAGTTTCAATTTTATTTTTTTAATAATATTAAGTAATTATTATATTTTTTTATATTAATTTATTATAAAAAATATATTAACTTAATAAATAAAATTTACTAATTAAACAAAAAGATTAAATTTTTTTTGTATTTATTTAAAAATAATATAATTTTTTTTATTAAAAATAAAAATTAGTGTATGATTACATTATTACAATTTATTTATTTATTAATATTATTTTTATAAAATTAATAATTTAATAATAAAATATAAAAAATACACCTAATTAATTTTAAATATATTATTATCAGTTATTTAATTTCAAACAATAATTGTAAACTATTGTATAATCAAATAATTATATTAATCGAATTTATTATCTATTATCTGTTACATATTTTTTACTTTTTGTTATTTACCATTAGTTAATTGTTATCTATTATCTACTACTAACTGCTTATATTTGTTATTCGTTATTTGCTATTTATTATCCATTACTCATTATCTACTAAATTTAATTGTTATACTAAATAAGTTCTTAGTGATATAAATACATCATACTTATTTATTTAAAAGGTGTTTTAAGTAATTAAAAATTAAAAAAATATAAAGTTCAAATATTGAGAATAGTGTACAGGATTATGAAAAGGGTACTTGTCATCACATCCAAAAATAAAAAAAACTAACTGAAAACTTGTACTTCTACTAAACCAAGGCTTCATTGCAAATAATCGTAACATTCTAGAAATATTTGCTGTTTTTCTGGCTGCTAATTCTGTTATGTGTTTCCATTTACGATCTCAGTTTGTTGTGACTATTAGGTGCGTTTGTTTCGAAATGGATTTGGCATTTTTTTAGTATCAAGTATAAAAACAAAGTACTCTACTAGTTAAAATTAACAAAATATTATTAATAAATAAATTTAAAATAAAATTTATCTGTTCTTTCGGGTTAAGTGACTTCCACAACCTTGTGGTGCACTCTCATCCTCTTTTAAATGGGTTTGAGCTCGTTATATGACACTTTGTATAAAAAGAAATAAATAAAATAAAATAAAATTTTATTAGAAATATT